TTCAGAAATTTTAAATTTTTAAATAGTTATTGCTTACTTCTTTCTACTTTGAGAATTCTAATTATATGAATATAAGTTTCTTGGTTTTGACACAGTGAACTATTATGACTGATCTGTAAATTCTTCATTTTTATTTTGGACAGTTTTTGTTATATTCAGTTATGTTTGTAAATAATTCATTTTCAATTTGCAATCTATTAAAAAATCAAAACAAAAAAAGAAAAGTTCTCTCTAAATATTTAGTGAACCCTTCACTTGCTAGGTGACACTTCACTTCCAGGACACATTTTAGATGTGAACTTCATGGTCATTTTCCAAGTTAACTTTCACAGCACTGTAAGGAAGTGATAGTCCACTTTTACAAATGAGGAATTGGACATCCAGTATGAAAGCCACCTACAGTGAGGCAGCCGTGGCGGGCATATCTGTCTCTAACATCCTAAGCAGAAAGCAATGGCCTATGAATTGAGGGAAAACAGAAGCTAGCCAGACTTCTCTAAGGTGGAAGAGAGAAGAAACAGAAGAAGGGAAACAGCCCCAGGGAGTAGCAAATATTCAATAAAGCAGCATGAGCAGAAAGCCCAAATATGAAGAGGACAATTATCACAAAGCATAACAATATATCAACTAATATGTCATGCTAGATCCTAAATCTTCAAATCAGAGTTGAATACACTGTTACAACTTCAGAGTCAGAGCTTATTAGCAAACTGGGAGGCAAGGGATAAAATGATCACGTGGTCCTGAAAGGAAAACCTGTGTAAATCAGAACTATGCCCCTCTTGAAAGAGCTACCCCTATTCATGTCTAAAATGGGCCGCAGGACCACATTCTGGAAGGGGAGCGGACACCATTCCTACAGAGAGGAAGTGCGAAGGATGGAACCCACTAGGTAAGGGCAGGAGTAGAGGGAAGGACAAGTTCACTGACGCTAAGACAGCTTTGAGAAGCAAAGAAATCCCAGCTGCTCCCAGGGTCCAATCCTGACACCGGGCACAGTCCCAGAACCTAATTCTACAAAATTCTGTCCACTCCCAGAACCTGCGTATGCCGTGTGATTCAAGGCCACAGAGGCCACATTCCAGCTCCGAGACTCACAAGAAGAATGTGACTGGTCTTGTGTTACCATCTAACACCCTAAGCAGAAAGAAATGGCCTATGAATTTGGCCCAGAGCAAGAGCTCTGTGCTCACCTGTCTTGTCCTTGTGACATCAGGTAACTGTATAAGGACAATGGCCAAGAGGCCTGCTTCCCATTCCACTGCGGGAGAGAGCCAGCCCTTCTTTCAATTTATAAACCCCGAGGGCAGACACTTGAAAGCTTATACTGCCCACACCACCTTCCAGAACATCCTTCATGGAGCAGAAAATTATTCAATACCTGGGGTACTTATATTCAAATTGAAAATGTTTTTGGCAAAGAACTTGACTGAAGCTTCTCCAGGTTAGAAGGAAGAGATTAAGTTCAAAGACTGACAAATATTCATACAGTGAAATACCTATATTCCAGACTTCCTTCCTCTGTAAAAATTCTTGTATAAATGGAAAGAGGCATTAAAACATGCCTTCAGCCAAAAATAAGAATTTACAGGGCCAGACTGAAGACCCTGTATACTTCTTAGGAACTGTAACATTCAAGGAGAGATGTACCAGAAAGCACACACGGAAGGACAGTGAGGGGGACAATGCAGAGCATTCGGGCCCCAAGCAGACGTGAAAGACGGGGCCCCCTGAGGAGGTCGGCTCATTCTCCCCTGGAATGTCAACATTAAGGACACGTAGTTCTTTATGTATTTTTGGTTTGTCAGATGTAACAGATATACTTTTTTTTGTAATTTTTTTTATTCATTACATTTCATAGAAAAAAATTGGGTCTTTGTTTTAACCCCACTACATCCTTTTTCATAATTTTCCTAACAGCCTACAGAGTCCATCCCTGCGATTCACACAGTCTAGGAAGATGACCGAGAGGTGTCATTCACCCAGCCCTTTGCTACCCAAGGAAGAAACACCAGTCTGCCCAAAACAGACTCTACTTCATCTCAGACGACTGCAGATGAACTGAACTCATCACCACAGCCCGTTGGGTCTCCTCCTTTCTCCTGGAGAGATCAATTTTTAGAGACTTCGTATCATCCGGAGTTTAAAAAACTAAAAAGGAGGAGAGGGAAGAGCAGCGAGCAGGCGAGTTACCCCACAGAATAATTGCAGCAGGCGGCTACCTTTCTTGGCTGAGGAATCTGGCGAGCACGTCACTGGCTTTTAGTTCTTCAGTTAGCTGTATTGCCATGGAAACTTTCGAGAGATGGGGCGCCTGCACGCGGATCACTCCCTGGGGAACGTCAGCCTGCAAAGCAATAACGACACTGGAGGAACGCTCCGCAGCGGGGACATGGGGCTCCGCACAGTGCATCACACGGTGCGTGTGCTTAACTACTCCACATCTGACTTCCCTGCATAAAAACCTTAACTACTGTATAATGCAATTTGCTAAATTACATCAAACCTCAAATATCCTCTTAATGGTGAGAGGGGAACTTTGTAATGCCTATGCAGTAATGCTTAATTATTTTTAAAGATGTAAAGAATGACAGCAATAACCATTACTGCCATATTAAGTGCTGATTTCTGAGTATTATCTCCTATAGGGTACTTCTTCATGTAGCAATTTATGAAACTAAGTCAGAAAAAAAGTCACTATGCGTGCATTTGCAAGATCTTCCTACACACTCACCCCTCCCCCAATTTTTGTCCCCAAGTGTTTAAAAAGAAATGAAAGACTTTAGTGGTATCCGTTCTTCACTTGGTCCATGGGTCTTACTTCTAACTTTACCCTACAGATCCTAAGTCCTTTGTTCATAGATGAGAAGGAACATTTTATGGATTTAGCAGTGTCACCAAAAAGAGTTTAACATTTGTAGTACCAAAATATCAGCTATGGCATTGGAAATAGTAGGCTTAATTACGTCCTAAATGGTTCTACTGAATGCTAATTTAGCATTTAAACTATACATCTTCAGCAGACTTTAGAATAGCATGCACAAATTATGTTTAAAGATAATTCTCCAAGTGGTACAAATATCCCATTTAATTCAACCAAAATTTACTAAGCAATTATCAAGTGGTAAGGAGTGTGCTAGATCTACTTACCTAGTAGACAGAACACAAGCTCTTTCTTTACTGCACACTCTTAATTTTGTGCCAACATCACATGTTTAATGCACATGGTCTTTTTTTTTTAAAGGGATTATAGATTTCTTTGCAGACTTGACTTTTATTTTTTTTTCAAAGTTTTATTGATAAACAGCAATGAGACAGTTTCAAATCAAATCGGAAGTACAGTTTCAACAAATAATACACTGCATATATTCTTCTTAGTGGTTAATTGCTGTACAAGATGTGGACTTGTGATCCTATTTACAAACACCATTAGAACAAATCATTCTATTCATTAAGAGAATGCAACTATATACCTATCCCAAGCACATGGTCTTATACTGTTTTTATTTAACATGAAGCACACACACCCCGCAGATGCCGTTAGTTTCTTCTCAAAGTTCAGCAGAAATAATATGCCCTAGCAGGTGAGCCACGTAAAAAGCAAGGCACCCCCAAAGGCTTAGAAGAGCTTCTCAGGAGCCTGAGGGATGGCACACGGGACTAGCAAAGGGAGCAGCACTGGAGCAGATGCCCACTCTGAAGCCGTCCTGACTTCCAAGGCCCAGGGCATTTGAGTCCAGCTGGAGCCTCTGCTTAATGTTTTGCCTTGTGCGTTCAATATCCTGTAATCCAGCTGGATTACTTTAGTCTCTGACCTTGACCTTGGCCTGACTGGGATGCAAGCTCTATTCACCCTTGTGTCCATTCTGATGGGTTACACTCACAGCCCATGCACTGGAAAATGAGCTGCTTTCTTGGGTGGACAAAGCATCACCCGTGGAAGCCCAGCTGCAAGACTCCTTTCAGAGCTGATACGCAGTCCCCGGTGTCCTGATACTCTGGGACCATGTGAACTCCACTCATGAGTTTCCTACCCTGGCCATTCTGACTGCTGACCCAACCTCAGCCATTGTCTTCACTGGAAGAAGAAAACAATAAACTGCTGTTGACAATTCTAATGTCAGAGTCAAGCGAGCAGCAGTACTCGATGCGCCACCGCCTACACTGCCCCATCCCTCTCCTCTGCTCAGGAAAGGCAACATATGCCCTAAGTTTATTATTATTACAGCACATAGGGTCTGGAGTGCAAGCTAGAGTCTGCAGGAAGCCATGTACTTCTGCTGATTTTAAGTCAAGAAGTCCTGGTTATGATAGTGCCAAATAGTCATCATACGGGTAAGATTTTCTCTAATGAAAGTACAAATTTTCCCAATAATTACCTCTTACCCAACCCCAGGACATCAAAAAGGAAGCCAACTCTATGCTGGAATTTAAGATGACTAGAATGTAAGCTTTTCTGAACAGTAGGTCCATAATAAATGAGTTACAAAAGCAAAAAGACTCAGAAAAGTGATACGCGACTGGAAGGTCACAGATACGGCCACCTCGGTGTGCTCCTTGTCTTGCCTTCCACTTCTTTTGGTATAATCCGTTGGGAGTTTCTTTTTAAAAAGCTATCCAAATTCACTGTGTACACATGGTGTGTATCTTCCACTTCCTCTCTAGATATCTACAGGTTTAACTCCGTTTCCATGAGACCTTCAATTCCATGGTCCGCCGATGAGGCGGCCTCGAGTGGTGCTCCAACGCCCTACTCCTGTGTTCTAGTTCAGTGCTCCTATCTGAGCCATCTGTAGCCACACCTCAATGGCAACTGCTCAAAGGAAGCACTCAACCAGATTTTCCCCCAAAAGTAATAGGTGAATAAGTGTAAAATTTTCTCTAGAATGAAAGAAAATATACCAACATGCATTTCCTATTGACAAAAAAAGGTCTTTCACATAATATCTCAAGAAACAAAGCATCATGGTATTCTCACCAATACAGAGAAATGAGCAGCAGAAACAGAATGAAAGAATTAAAGATGCTGCAAGAGATAATTCAGTCATGTTCTCCTGCAGGAAGGCACCTGAGAGCCTATAGCCCTTGCCCCCAGCTGAGTCCTACAAAGAACTGAAGGCCTCTAGTGACACAAGCGCAGCCTCCCATAAGTGATCTTAGGGCTCATGACCGCCCTAAAACACAGCACTGAGGTGAACACAGTCAGGACTTCTGAGCATGTGCCAGCTCTGACACAAACCTGGACAATGGGCTGCTTGTGGCTGAGTGGCAGAGGATGGTCTCGTGCACACATGGGTGAATCCCCAACAGCACCACAAAAAAAAAGAATAAAAGAAAGAAAGAAAAGAAAAGAAAAAATCAACTCTTTTTGATAGGAATTTAAAAAGAAGAGTAGAGGCACCAGCTTTGGTAGGCAGTGGGTATGGGTGATGTCAGGAAACTGGCATAACGGGGCACGGGCCCGAGCTTTGGACAGCAGAGGTGGTACAGGAACATTCCACCGTAGCTTCCTTGTGTGGGGGCTAACCTGTTTCCCACATCCCTTTCTCACAATAAGGAGAGAATGAGGCTAAGCCAGATTAAACCGGGGGTTAATACTCCCCAAATGACTAGAAATGCAAACTCATTTCACACTGAGCATGCACCCATGCTACTGAAAAATTGTTCACTAGGCTGACAAAGTGCATGGCATCTGCCTCTATGGACTGCTCACATTCCATCGTAAGCAGAGAGCTTGTATTCAAAGAGGGGATGGTATGTGTGCCTACAATGTAAAAACAAGGCCCAGTCTGTTTAATGTTTAATCCCACTTGGTCTCTGCCAACTATATGGAGACTGACAAGCCAAGGCAATAAGGCTGCCCAGTGCCTTTCTCCCTTAGAGAAGATGCTTAGCTAGGAGACGGAATGGCAAAGATGGAGTTTCAAAGTTGTTTCAGGAGTTATTTCTCTGCTGCATACACTGACAAGAAGGCCCACATGATAGTCACATAAAAATGATAAACAATCAATGATGCCAAAGCTCATTTAAATGGTGTATGACAACTACCATTGAGCTCCAACATCAGGCCGCATCAAATGCGGACACTATTAGTATCCTAATTATACTGAGCTGCCAAGCTTTGCAAAGACACAATATGCCTGGTCATTAAGCCAAGCAGTCCATTCTTTTATTTTTTATTTTTATTTTTTATGTATTTGGTACGAAGTCTACAGGGTCTCACTACGTAGATCAGACTCGTAGTGATTCTCCTGTTTTCAGCCTCCCAAGCGCTGGGATTACAGGCATGCGCCACCACGCCCAGTCTCAACGTGCCCCAGGAAGGGAGCCAGCACAGCACACTGGGGATTGAGCCCCGGCCGCTATGCTCTGCCTAAGTAGGCCCTTTAGTCTGCTGAGCTATCTGGCCGGCCCCCAAGCAGTCCATTCTTAAGCCATGATAAATACCAGCATCTGTACAAACCATTGTCGTTGGGACCTTCTGATTTCATGTTTTCTGGCTTAACAGCTATGACACTGTCCCTCACCTTGTGGGGGCAGAGGGTGGGTATGCTTGGAAACTTTACAGCAGGACTAGACAACTATTTAACACCCCATTAAAGATTAGTCGCCGAAGATTTTAAACTTTAAAAATGTCAATTTCTTTTAAAATTGTTACAATTCTCACATTTTGTATATTGAACTAAGATATATTTCTTAATATCAAATTTTATTTATCCTATTTGCATACACAATTACTTCTGTTGATTTTAGTATTTTTATATTAGGTGCTCATGTTTTTGCCCTATAGGAGCTTAATGTCAGACCTTTGGAAGAGACATTAATTTCTTCTTTTTCATTAAAGCCTTATTTAAATGTAAAGCTGACATTTTTAATGCCTCAGAAAACTTTTAATCTTTAAAAGGGCAAATTGGAAATATAGCTTTTTCAAAAAGGTGGCCACTCATAATGCTTTAGAAAATTGAAGGGGGTTGTTTTAGTGAGATACCTTAAAGTAACACGGCACAGTAACTCCAGTGTGCAGAGGCAGTTAGGGCTGCCAGGGAGAGCGACACAGAAAGGGGACAGCTTCATGTCTACGTTCTGATGATAATCAACACCACGAGGCCTTCAACTTTCATCCAACCCACGGGGTCGGAGCACTTACAAGGCAGGTGGGCAGGCCTGAAATAACTGCCACAGTTAATACTCGTTCAATTTCCAATGAAAGAAGGTGTTTTTCTCTTTAAGCATGGTATTTGTGCTCACTATTCAAAATCAGGAGGTGTCACAAGAAGAAACAAAGATTTAGAGCTTGATGCTGTAATTTGATTTTTCACACGGGTTCCCAAGTAAAACCAGAGACCA